CTCCCTTCACATTTCCAAGCAATCCTAGTTATCATTTGCGACCAAATTATCTTAGTGTTCGGGAGGAGCTTTTGAATCTTTTTCAAATCACCTTTTATTGCAACTATCAATTCAATGGTCTTCATACGGCCAAGGTCATTTGCTCCACAATATAATACTAAAAATTTTGGTGGATCGATAAATGCAAGTAAATGTTTTAACAATTTAAGAACACCACTCCAGCGCACTCCTCTTCGACCTTGCCACAGTATATTATGCCTGTCGAGATTAAGGTCAGATGTGAATCCTAACTCAATCGCAGCTAAAAAGGCCCATGAAATTAATGATGAACCGATGATCCAAATATCTTGATAATGTTCTGTAACGAAAAAGATCGAATTTCAAGCTGTCATATCATTCTATTTGACTGCCGGGATCCTAATATATAAGCGATAACAATCTGACTTCCACCTTCCTAACAATTTAATTGTTTCGTCATCAACGCCCTGAGAATGGAAGTATGTAGCTGCTCCAATTCTAAAGGAATGTAATTTATAGTTGCATCCAGATATACTGAGACGCGAGAGGCATTTAGTTAAGATTGAATTAAATTGATATCTAGTTAGCGGTTTACCACCGAAATGACAAAATAATTGACCAGAAATGTTCGGTCTTTGTTGTAAATAATGCTGCATGAGTAATAACGGACAATATGGACCGCCGATAGCGGAGATAATTAACTGTGTTCCTTTGCCGTACTGGTCAGTCTTTGACCTCCTAAGGTTAACTTCTAAGTAAAATGAAGACTCGTTTATAACGAGATCGTTCTTAAGTAATGCTGTGTTTGAATTTCTATGGCCTACTGTAAATTCCCCGACTCGAAGAAAACCCAAAACGGCCAACGAAAAAGCCGCGGAAAATAGGCTCGCCTCGTAACTCGGTGTGCATACAATGGGTAATGTATTAATTAATTTGTGGAGGAGTTGAATCGTTATTGGTAACCGTGTATCTTTGGAGTGTCTTTCTCTCTTCATTCCCTCTAGCATTTTTCGAATAATAAAATGTGAAGTATAATCCGGTAATTCTGAGGTGGAAATCTTAATGTTATGCGATATAGCTGCTAGATATGTTTTGACAGTGCTAACTGCGTAACCTTTGACGGAAAGGAAAGCGACAAAGTTTGTCAATTCCTCCAGCGATGGTGGCCAAGAGTTACGGGGGTGGAACTCGGACCTGAACTTACAAAATAAATCGTAGCCGTTGTTGTATGCCGCTTTAGTATTGTCTGAGGTGGCCATGTCTATTAATCTAACGGTTTCACTCCTGATATCAGTGAGTAAAATACCGGTGAAATTGGGGTTGGTTTTACATCTGCTTTTGGGGCTAGTTCCCGGAATTTGGTCCACTGTCGACGAGATAAAGCATCAGCAATATTATTATATAAGCCTGGGATATGTTTTGCTTTAAATCTAAAATTATATTTCATTGAGAGATATACTAAATAACGAACGAAATGCATTACTCTTTTAGATTTTGACGTCTGTTTGTTCAAGATGTATACGAGGGCTGCGTTATCTACTCTTAATATAACATTTTTTGATCTGAAGTATTCTCCCCACAATGTCATTGCTAGCTCTAAAAAGGTAACGTCCCTCAAAATTTCCGTTTCACCCCATGTTGAGGGCCAAGCGAAGTGGGCCCATTTGCCGTTTAAATACGCCCCGCACCCCAGGTTCTTACCCCCAGCACTGTCTGTATACAATTGAAGAATATCACTGCTTAACCAATCAACATCATTTAAATTATTAAATAGCATATGCCATTGAAGTGATTCAAGAAATTAAGTCACATGAGCAAATCGTCTTTGATGGATTTTGTAATGCGGATAAAATGATGTTGTCTTTGCACACCAATCATAGCATCATAGACACGCCGATTGAAGGCGCGGGAAGACCGCACGGCTTTGGTGCAAAAGTTTAATTGACCTACCAGAGATTGCATCTCCTTCAAAGTGACTCTAGATTTATTTGTCATTTCTATCAGCGAAATCTTAAGCTTAATTAGCTTATCGTTTGGAATGCGTACTTGTCCCAGACATGTGTCAATTTCCAATCCCAGATAGGTTAACTTTGTGACAGGGCCAACAGTTTTATCGATGGCAAGACGAATTCCCAAAGCTTTACATAAATCGCCAAATTGTCTCATGAGTCGTAAGCAATCGTCGGAATTAGCTGAACCAGCAAACAAAAAGTCATCAAGATAATGCGTAACATGTGCGAAACCAAACTGTGACCTGACGGCCCATTCCAAAAATGAAGCAAATTTCTCAAATGTAGCGCATGATAAAGAACAACCAAATGGTAAACATTTGTCAATGTAATATTTACCTTCAAATTTGAAGCCGAGTAGGCAAAAATCATTTGGTTTTATTGGTAATAGTCGATAGGCGCGTTTTATGTCCATTTTGCCCAATAAAGATCCTTTACCGAGCTGACTTATCATTTCGATAGCACTGTCGAATGAAGAGTAGTGTACGGATGAAAGTTCTTTATCTATAAAGTCGTTGACGCTATTGTTATGTGGATATGACAGATGAGTAATTAAACGCCACCCCCCGCTAGATTTAAGAACGACGCCTATTGGAGACACCCTCAGGTTTGAGAGTGGTAGATGATTGAAAGGGCCAGCCATGCGACCCATATCAACTTCACTTTGCAATATACTATGAATTTTGTTTGGGTACTGGTTCGCCGAAATTAAATTTTTACACTCCAAGTACTTACGCGGACCTAAATACTGAAGCGAAAATCCAAATTTAAACCCATTTAACAACTCATTACCTAATTCGTGGTTTGGATACGACTGTATCAATATTGAAAGTTGATTAATGTCTACTGGAGAAAGACCGAGGTGCATTAGTCCCCTGGGGGTAGCGAAATCTATAGTTTGGGATTTGTCCTGGGCGTGGTTGCTGATTTTGTGATTGAAAACGAAAAGGCTGCTTTTGTACAGAAGAGCGTAGAGCTGAATTGCGAGGACAAGTGAACATTGGGTGCTCAGATGAACATTTGATACAGCAATGTGCATAAATACAATAGGGTTTACTGCATGCACCCTTGTAGTTGAAATCAAAACACATGCCTTTCGACGGTTCAACTGCTTTTGGGGGATTGATTAGCGGAGAAGTTACGTATAACATCCAAAGTTCATTGTCAATTTCCCCCCATGCCAGAGAACTATTTCTTGTCTTCTTAAAACTAAATTGTTCATCATACAATTTCCAGCCCGTGGGAGATTTATAAGAACCCAGTCTAACCGTATGCATATATTTAAGTAAACCAAGTGATTGATCGGGGTGTGCTTCAACGTAAACACTAGTAAAAACAAGAAACGCATCAGTCCATTTCCCAATGTCGGTGATTTTCCCACTTTTCCCCTTTTGAAGGATGAGTTCCCCGTCCACTAAATTGAGCTTGTTTTTCTTATCCCTTTCATCTGATGATTCCAATAAAACACCCAGATCTAAATACTCCCCATTTTGTATTTTTTCCCGTGTTTTTGGAGAGATGTTGTACCCCAATGAATCTGTTACGCAATAGGTGTAGGTAAGTAAGCTGACGTACCTACTGAGCTGATAGAGGCAGCGATGTCTTCCTCATTGCTGGGCCTCCCTTCACATGAACTGGTACTACTTTCTTTTACTCCCTCCTTTTGTGGGGCCTTGGTGGTAGCTGTCTCTTTTCTGGAAGACTTTTTGGCGGCTGTAACTGCAGCTGTATTTGACTTTCGTTTAGGCATCTCTCCGGAAAATTATTTGAAAAAATTTCTAAAAAGTTCGCAGTACAGTTAAGGCTACACATGAAGATAATATGGTAATGAGGTCATAATGAGGTTTGACGTCATGACAGTTGCTCCGCCTTGATAGATCCATATAAGGAAATAGAGCTCAAAAAAGCTATTTAATGATGATTGCGAGAATTTGTAATGAATGCCTGAATTTTCAGGTTTAAATAAATAATTATTAGTGATTTTCTCTTATATAGCAACAAAATAATTCTCTTTTTATTGTGTCGTTTGGCTGCATTCGGCTTCAGCCAAGCGCTTGCACTCGGTGACACGGAATGTTGTTTACATCTAAAAACGTGGCGACAGCAGCTGAGATATGCAGTGGATAAATGCAACAATCAGGCAATCTTTAAAGAGAATAGGGATAAAATAAGAGACCCGGGCCTTGTTTATCTTTTTGATGAGAAGATGATGACGTTATTTCGGGAAATCATGGAAAACTGAGACGATCCGCACTACCTCCCTAGGTCCCTTTCTGTTCATTAAGGTGTGTATGTGCATAGGTATTAACATGTAGACATACTATTCTTTACATCGATGTAAAATAACCTTGAACATGTACAATAAGATGTATTGTTACAGTCCGTCACAAACTGCAATGCAGTGCCTTGTGTGTACCCCCCCCCCCATCCACACACACACACACATACACAAAAACACATTATGAAAGTTCCACACTTTTAAATATGCAATGATGTTGTCCTTTGGCATACATGTACAAACATGTAACATAATATAAGCACAGCACGTCATGATATCAAGTATAATTTAGATGCAGTCACACTTACAGTGTATTTGTGAAGTCAAACTGCACAGTGTACAATGTATGTGCATTGTACATACAAGAGTATAAGACCCTATACATTTTAATTTTTACCTCTGGCAATCAAAAATATGTGAATTTTAAGATTTCAGTTTTTACCAGTGCTTCATATTTTAAATTCATCATAGAACTTTTACTATCTATATCACTAGGCTGTAAATTTGTAGAATTTCTACATTAATGAAGATAAAATGTTTGAATTTTCATTTGTCTGACTACATGTACATTAAGTCAGTCTTATATGTATATACATGTATTTATGTACTGTTTATATGTATAATTCTTTTGTCATTGTAGCTGTCACAGAACTGATTAAAACTAGCATTTACATCAGCTAGAACTTTCAAAATAAATGCATCAATTTCTCCACTGGGTATGATCACACTAAAGCATTTCACATTAATTTTATAGTATGCCAGTGTTAAATATTTTTTTTTAAATGTTGTATAAGTGAAAGAATTAAATGTTATCTCTAGTATATTGATTTTTTTTTACTTAAATTAAGTATAGCTACCAATTCTACTTTTGCAAATGTCATAGGTTTCAATTTCCCAGAAAAGTTTTGTATCAAAAGTTTGTTTCCATTTATTTTATGAATTTCAGATAATATAGTATAGCATGGTTTGTTTTGTACAATGCAATGTCATTTCATTCTACAATAGTAATCATTATGTTTTTCACTCATTACATATATATTGTAGCTACTCCCAAACAATTTGAACAATTCATTCAGGCAGCAAGTGTTTCCACCAATAAAATAAAAAGGTATGCTCCATATAAGCTCTAAACCATACATTTTCCTAGCAAGATTATTGAAATGTTTTGATAATAAAAACAGTAGAGTCATGTATATGCTTTCCATGTTACTCAATGCATTGTTTTGAGTATCACTTTTTAAAACACCAATGAACCTTGCATAATGGTATTTCATTTTGTTTTCAGAATTGATTTCATCCAGAAGAACTGTTTGAACTGTGGACTGTTTGAAATATTTTGCACCTGCTCAGAAATCCCTTCACAGCTTGTCTTTGAATTTGAAAGGCTGTTTTTAATTAAATAAATTTTCTAGATAACTAATACTTTGAATTTTTAACAGTACAATGGTGTGAAAGTTTGAAGGCTGTTAAGATTTGAGTATCTTTACTTGCATGTATTCTGACAGGCGCGTAGCTGCTTATACGCAAATACGCAGGTGCGTACACATCGTTTACAAATTTAAAAAAATGGGGGGGGGGGGGGAGGGAGAGATTTGTGAGAAGAGAAAAAATATCAATACCATCCAGCAAATATTTGTGTTTCAAATTATTTTATCTCATACTGTTTCGATTGAAATTCAAATTCTATATAACCATGTCTTTATAAAAAAAAAGTTTAAAAAAATTGTAATGTTTTATTAAATCATTGCCAAAACCAAATAAAACATTCATTAATTTGTAATTCTTCTACAACACATTGATAATTTATTTTAAGAACTTAGAGAAAATATCAACCGTTGAATGCTGTGATCCAATAGAATACGATTTAAAATATTATTTTTGTTAAAAATTGAAATTATTAATTATATTTGTTGCCGAAAGATGATACCAATATATCTTTTAAAAAAAAATATTCAGCCTCTACATGTACAATAAATTTGCACGGAAGTATTTAACTTTGTGTTGAAAACAATAGTATTATGTCTTGTATTTTCTAAAGAAAATCGAAATGGCATGATTTTGAATGAAATATTTAGTAAAAACCATGAGCTTTCAGGGACTTCGACCCTGAGCCCTCATCTGGACCCACTGGGGGTCTCAAAGCGGACCCCAGCCGTTCTCTGCGTACATTTCACTTCCATTCTGGTATGCGCCTGTCCGTGTTTTGGGGTACAACAAGATCTAAATTTCAGTATGTATATTGTGTTCACCTGTTCTTTAACAGAGTTTCTGTTTCTGTATTACAAAGTTTTTACTATGATTATCTTGTTTGCGCATTGATTGATAATTACTCAAAAACATGAGACTAAAGCCCCCCCCCCCCTTCCCCCCTACGCCGATATGATTTGTGCTACAATACCCAAATAAGTAAAACCTGATGTAAACACTGTTTAATAATTTATTTTTAACATGCCAGTAAGTATATGGTATCAAAGGAGCCAGAGGCAAACTGGTGATGGGGGGGGGGGGTTAGATCTGTAGAAAGGAAAACAGGTTATTAAATACAGTAGTAAGCACCCCAATCCCTTCCGTCTGTTCTTAAAACTTTTAACGTAGTCTAGAATCCATAAACAGTTGAAGGTTTGATAACAAATATAGTCACTTATGAAAAAAAAAAAAACTACTAAGTTCTGTTGGAGATATTTTTTTCTGTGTGTCTACTGAGGAAGAATAAATGTTTAATCATTGATAGGGGCTGTCTATTTTTTATTTTTATTACAAATGACTGAATCTTTCAATATTTTTAACCATGGGCATTTTCCAATTTATTTACATGATGGATGTTGCGGCAAATTTTAGGCGAACGGAGGAAATGCGGTAGGTGTCAAATACGTCTTGTGTAGCGTATAAAAGAACGAAGATATACAAAACAAAGTAAAGTCAAAGATTTTTTTATGCATACCGTTTTGATTTAGTGAAATAAAGCCCAGCGCAGTCCGTAGGTATTTGTTTAAAATTTGCGAGGTGCACAAACTCTACTAAGTACCACAGAGTTATCTCCCATGCTGGGTCAATGATGCGTTTGAAAACTATATTTAGAATGAATGTGTTAAGATTTCAATTTTTAATCAAAAAGTGCAAGGGCAAGGCGGCAACCCAAGAGGTAGGTTTTTATTTTAAATTCTTTATTTTACTGTATAGTTTTTAAAAAGTGATGCTCATTTCTTTGTAATTCATTAGGCAATTTAAAATTTCCGATTAAATGATGAAAAATAGCCTATTTTTAGCTCTGCTGGTCAGAGACCAGAAGAGCTTATGCGATAGTAAGGTGTCCGTCGTCCGTCCGTCTGTCTGTCTGTCTGTCTGTCTGTCTGTCTGTCCGTCTGTCTGTAAACAATTTTTCAAAACGCTACTCCTCCTACAGTTTTGGTCCGATTTCAATATAACTTGGCACACAAGTAGACTTCACTAAGATACATAATTTAGTGCATCGGTTTTTGATTTCGATGGACGGTGTTGCCATGGTTACTAAAAATAGAAATTTCTGTGAAATTCCTTTAAAACGCTACTCCTCCTACAGTTTTGGTCCGATTTCAATATAACTTGGCACACAAGTAGACTACACTAAGATACATAATTTAGTGCATCGGTTTTTGATTTCGATGGACAGTGTTGCCATGGTTACTAAAAATAGAAATTTCTGTGAAATTCCTTTAAAACGCTACTCCTCCTACAGTTTTGGTCCGATTTCAATATAACTTGGCACACAAGTAGACTACACTAAGATACATAATTTAGTGCATCGGATTTTGATTTCGATGCACGGTGTTGCCATGGTTACTAAAAATAGAAATTTCTGTGAAATTCGTTTAAAACGCTACTCCTCCTACAGTTTTGGTCTTATTTCAGTATAACTAGGCACACAAGTAGACTACACTAAGATGCATAATTTAGTGCATCGGTTTTTGATTTCAATGGACGGTGTTGCCATGGTTACTAAAAATAGAAATGTCTATGAAATTCGTTTAAAACGCTACTCCTCCTACAGTTTTGGTCTGATTTCAGTATAACTAGGCACACAAGTAGACTACACTAAGATACATAATTTAGTGCATTGGTTTTTGATTTCGATTGACGGTGTTGCCATGGTTACTAAAAATAGAAATTTCTGTGAAATTCCTTTAAAACGCTACTCCTCCTACAGTTTTGGTCCGATTTCAATATAACTTGGCACACAAGTAGACTACACTAAGATGCATAATTTAGTGCATTGGAGATTGATTTCAATGGACGGTGTTGCCATGGTTACTAAAAATAGAAATGTCTATGAAATTCCTTTAAAATGCTACTCCTCCTACAGTTTTGGTCCGATTTCAATATAACTTGGCACACAAGTAGACTACACTAAGATACATAATTTTGTGCATGGGTTTTTGAATTCAATGGACGGTGTTGCCATGGTTACTAAAAATAGAAATTTCTGTGAAATTCATTTAAAAACGCTACTCCTCCTACAGATTTGGTCTGATTTCAATATAACTTGGCACACAAGTAGACTACACTAAGATACAATATTTAGTGCATCGGTTTTTGATTTCGATGGACAGTGTTGCCATGGTTACTAAAAATAGAAATTTCTGTGAAATTCCTTTAAAACGCTACTCCTCCTACAGTTTTAGTCTGCTTTTAATATAATTAGGCATACAAGAAGACTATACTAAGATACATAACTTAATGCATCAGTTTTTGAATTCGATGAACAGTGTTGCCATGGTTACTTAAAATAGAAATTTTTGAGAAATTTCCATAAAACGTTACTCCTCCTATAAATTTGGTCTGATTTCAATCTAATTTGGCACACAGTTAGAATACACTACGATACATAATATGTATTTCTGTTTTTTTTTATTTCGGTGAATGGTGTTGTCATGGTTACTAAAAATAGAAATTTCCGTGAAATACTTTCAAAACGCTACTCCTCCTACAGTTTTCGTTTGATTTCAATATAACTTGGCATAGAAGTAGACTACATTATTAAAGATACATAATTCTATTTATTGTTGCATGTTGCAGAGTTTCAAATCGAAGTGCTACTTTTCTTTTGTTATACGTACAGACCAGTAGAGCTACAGTCTCATCAGAGACTTCTGGTTGAATACTGGTGTTTGTTTTCAATGATTAACTTAAAAATCTCAGAAATCTGACTGAATGAGCATCAGTTTTTCGATAGGATAGATACCTAGAGACACAATGAAACCTTGTGCAGTTCAAATATTGTTTGCCTTGCCCTTGCACTTTTTGGTTAAATTTGACATTTCATATTTTGACCTAAAATCGGAGCTCAGGTGACTTTAGAGGGTCACATGATGACAAAAAATACCGATGTGAAAAGCGATGGACAAACTCTTCATAAAGCCATTAAGATATTTCAGATAGAGTTTCATGCTAAAAAATAAGACGGTTGAACTTTAAGTGTCTCGTTTTTGGTGCCTTTTTATAGAAAATGTTGCCTTAACTGTACTGCGTTTGCAGCACACCCAAAAACGTGTATCTTTGGAGTATGGTTGATAATTGACTGTTTCGATACTTGGCGCAGATATTGCGCGCGCATCATTCCACGTGGTGCGCTGTGATAAATGGATTTATAACGTATTCACTGCATAAATCCGATTATACTGTTTTTCATTATTGATGTCAGGTCAACAATTAATTTGCATTACATGTCCTGCAGGTTAAACTCTACATGACTAGACTATAGTGTGGGCTTCCTATTTGATGGATCTTTGGAATTGAACAAGATTATTTCAACAGATAATCCTTTATGCTGATTGAATTTAATTAAAAGGTAAAATACACTGTATAATCAATTAATTTCTTTGATTATTTATACATATTTAATTAATTCATTATTTAACTTTGGTAATAGTTTATCTGCCCATTTATTAGCTCATATGAACTGAAGCTCATTCTGAAGCTCACATTCTGATCAAAATTGTCCATTGTCTGTCGTCATCATTGGTGTTATTCTTATTGTAAATTTTCCACATTTTCATCTTCTTCTCTTTAAGACGCAGTGGTTAGAGCGTCTGCTCTAGAGTCGCGGAGTAAGTTGATCCTTACGTCGCGGGTTCGAATCCCACTGTGGGACGTGGAGACCGGTCTTTCGGATGAGACCGTATAAACCGAGGTTCCGTGTCGCAGTAGGTGCTGGCACGAAAAAGATCCCTCACTGCTCAATTGCCGTTAGTGCCGAGTATAGGTCAGAATTTGTAGCCCTCCACCGGCAAGTGGTGGCGTCTCCATATGAGTGAAAAATTCTCGAGAGGGACGTTTAACTACAAACAATCAATCAGTCAATCAATCTTCTCTTTAAGGATGAGCTAATTAATTTCAACCAAACATAGCACATTAAATATCCTTGGGTGAGGGGGATTCAAGTTT